ACACACAAACACACACACACACACACACACACACGCACTCTCAAACACTCACACTCTCACACACACACTCACACTCTCTCACACACTCTCACACACGCACACTCACATACACTCACAAACACACTCACAAACACACACTCACACACACACGCTCTGGACTCCAGAGAGAGGAGACTGTCTTTGTGTGAGATCAGTCTCTTCCTGTGCATTAATCACCCAACTAAACACGGGTCACGTGACCCACCGCATGTTCTGCTGATGTCACGTGACACCCCTCCCCCTCCCCTACTGGAAACCATGACAACCAGCCGGCTGGAACCGGTTAGTGACACATGGCCTTCATTTTGTGAAGTGAAGAAGCGTTCAGGTGCTGCCAGAAAATGGAGAAACTTTGGGTTGAGGGACAGGACACACTCACACACACACACACACACACACACGGCAAACCTGACTTCCTGTTTCACACACAGCTGCTCCCACAGAATGATCGCTGCACTTATTAAAGCTGATTCACCAACATCATCAAATGTGACGCTCCACAGTCATATTCATAACAGCTGTGGGATTGTGGGAAACATTTCCCAGGATTCCCTGATACAGGATTCCCTCTAAATGCCCACCTGACCAGTGACGATTATTCACTTAAAGACTTTAAAGACAAACAAATTCTGTTTCAAATAAATGCTGTTCTTTTGAACTTTCTATTCATCTGTGAATCCTGAAAAATAAAATGTATCACAGTTCCCACACAAATATAATCAGAAATGTTTCTTGAGCAGCAAATCAGCATATTAGAATGATTTCTGAAGATCATGTGACACTGAAGACTGGAGTAATGATGCTGAAAATACAGCTTTGATCACAGAAATAAATTACAGTTTAACAGATATTCACAGGCTGGTATCGCACTGAATGTTGGTCATCTGATGGTGGTTTTCCTTCACTTTCTAAGTCACTCATATGAATTAAGCTGATGTTTTGTAGACACACACACACACACACACGCTATTGTCATGTAAAGTCTCCTCACGTGTTGCTTGTGTCCATGGGCTCGTCTCCCGTCTGCAGCTCTACTTTGATGGTGGCCTTCAGGATGCTGGAGTCCTGGACCGCCGCAGCTGTCTCTGATCGGGAACGCTCGACGCCATCCAGCTTCAGCCGCTTAACGTCTGCGGCTTGAGAGTCCCGCTCTAGAGCACGCTTCTGACTGCGCGTCTGCCTCACCGTGTCCTCAGACATCACCGCACCTGAACACACAAAACAAAAACCACATCATTATGGAAGTGCATCGTCATGAACACCGGTCTGATCTGGGATCAGCTTCAGATTCTAATTTACACTAACGCACTGACTGATTTTAAGTCTCGGTTTCTCTGGTTTAGGAACAGATAACCAATCAAAGGCTGCCTCAGTGCTCGACTCATTAAATATTCATGAACAGTCCCAGAAACGTTCATGAGTCAATAAACGGTTAATAATACTGAAGTGTGACATCAGTCTGTTTTCTGTCACATGCTCCAATGAGCCCAGATGGAGAAACAGGTCATGCAATAACCTCAAAAATATGCAGATGAGAAGAAATGCACAGTGTGAAATCTAAAAACCTGAATCCAGAATTAGCATGACACAGGATTTTCAATAACCAGGTTAATAATGTGTGTGTGTGTGTGTGTAATAAACAGGAAAATAAATGATGTAAAATCCATCAATCATGAAGCTCTACAGACAGTGTCATTACTCAGATCATTCAGTTCAGTGTTGATTTTAGTTCAAAGTGAAGCCCTGTCTGATTTCCCAGAGGTCAGTGGGCCAGTGATGCACAACAGGAAGTTTCATCGACAAAGACAGACAACATGAGCTCGTTCCTGCAGGAGAGCCACGGCACACTCTCATCAGCACACTTCCTGTACGACAGGAAGAGCCACATGCTCACACACACACACACACACACACGCACACGTACACAGATAATGGAAAGCTGACTCGAGTTGTTTTCTCTCCCACCCGGTGACATCACAGAGACACACATGACCCTTCCCAGGATTCCATGGGGCACATGACGCACTTTCCTGAGAACCGGTTGGAACCGGTAAGTGTGTGACAGAGAGACGAGAGTTAACCCTTTGTGGGTAGAGATGCATCATGACAGGAGAACCTCGCTCTGTTCTGCAGACCACTAGTTAGTGCTGCTGGTTAAGTCAAGCAGTACTGTCACTAGTTCTCAAACACTTTCACCAGCTGGATGAGAAGATCTCAGAGCACCACAGCACCAGAACACACTCTTCCTGGTGTTTTACGCCTCAGTCCTCATTCACTGTTCAACTGCATCTAAAAACTGATTCTTAAAAATCTGTTTGTGGATAAAAAGTTGTTTCACAAAACCGTTTGTGCTCTACAGAGGAAATAAAGACGTGAGGGTCAGTTCTTCTTCTGAAGTTAGGCCACAGTTTTATTGGGAACAATCCCTTTTTAAAGCTGAAGTGAATCTGGATTACCATTGTGTGTGTGTGTACAGAATACAGGAGTGACTCCCGAACTCAGCGGTAACCATAGCAACAGCAATCTCATGGCTGTAAACCAGAAACACAACGTCAACGGTTAAAGTCACGTGGTGTCAGATATTGCTGATCAAAATAATACTGTATTAAAATTCAACAATCAGATCCAGCTCAAGTCCGTCAAACGCTGGTCTGAGTGTGTTTGGACAGGATCTGAAGATGATCACGAGAAGCGATCCAACCACCGTCACCAACTATCTAGAGTCCATCCTCACATTGATCTGGTCTTCATCGGTTACGGCAATTACTATTTTTGTTTGAAGACTACATATAAAATAGCTACCAAAATAAATGTTGGTAACTGCAGTTTGACTAAAAGTAATGACTAAAAGTTGACAAAAATGCAATGACTTTTCGTCGACTAAAACTATGAAAGACTCAAATGACTAAAATGTGACTAAGACTATTAAGCATTTTCGTCTCAAGATAAAGACTAAGAATAAATCAAAAATGCCTGTCAAAATTAACACTGACACACACACACACACACACACGGTTGAGCGGCCTGACTGTGTGTGTGCAGGACAGACCAGCAGTCTCACATAACTAATTACCAGCAATCAAACAATTAACTGACAGAAACACACACACACACACACACACACACACACACACTGACTGACTGAAATACACACATCAAACCTCTCTCTCTCTCTCTCTCTCACACACAGTGAGTGGCAGGAGCTCTGTGCTGCAGGTGTTCAGTAGGGGCTCATGGAGGACTGTGTGCTCTGAGGGCTGGGATTCTCACCTGGGCTCCGTAGCCTGCAGACAACGACAGACCAGCAGTCTCACATAACTAATTACCAGCAATCAAACAATTAACTGACAGAAACACACACACACACACACACACACACACTGACTGACTGTTTCACTGAAACACAATCAGTAAAATACACCAAACAAACCATGAAGCCCAGAACAACTAACTGGACAAACCCGTGATGAACCTGTTCACTCAAACTACAGGAGAATATTCTGATCTGGAGATTCATCCAATCAAAGCACAGGAAGTCAGGCCGTCACGTCATTATGTAACATTCAAAAGTTATTTTTTGAAAGAAATTAATAGTTTTATTTATCAAGGACGCATTAAATTGATCAAAAGTGACAGTAAATAATTTCTAATGTTACAAATGTTATTTCTGTTTCAAATAAATGCTGTTCTTTTGAACTTTCTATTCATCTGTGAATCCTGAAAAATAAAATGTATCACAGTTTCCACAAAAATATGAACTGTTTTCAACATTGATAATAATCAGAAATGTTTCTCGAGCAGTAAATCAGCATATTAGAATGATTTCTGAAGATCATGTGACACTGAAGACTGCAGTAATGATGCTGAAAATACAGCTGCGCATCACAGAAATAAATTACAGTTTAACAGATATTCACATAGAAAACAGTTATTTTAAAGTGGAAAAATATTTCACATTTTTTCTGTATTTTTGATCAAATAAATGCAGCCTTAGTTTAAAAACATTTAAATATCTACGGACCCAAAACCTTTGAACTCTAGTGTTGATCAAACTGTCATGTGGCCAAAAGATCGTTTCATCTTCTGCTGCAGTCTGATGTAGAAATCAGCTCCCTAATGAATCCAGTAAATCTGTTCCTGCTTGCTGAACTGAACCTCGATCTGATCCATCAAATGCTCCATCAGATGTTTCTCCAGTGTGTTTGAGCTGCACGGCACACACACACACACACTCTCCCCTCTCTCTCTCTCTCACACACACACACACACTCTCTCACACACACACACACACAAGCCTGTGATAATGGGATAAACTGCAAAGCGCTGCAAATGTCAGAGGTTTACTGTGACCTGAGAACATGACGGCCAGGGTTTCCTGCACTGATGCGTGACGTGAACGACTTAAGCCCCTCAAATCAGTGAGCTCAAGAACACCACATCCGCTGCACTGACACAGAGCTCACACACTCACTCACACACACACTCACACTCACACACACTCTCACTCACTCACACACACACTCACTCTCATTCACACACACACTCACACTCTCACGCACACACACACACTCACTCTCATTCACACACACACTCACACTCTCACGCACACACACACACTCACTCTCATTCACACACACACTCACACTCTCACGCACACACACACACTCACTCTCATTCACACACACACTCACACTCTCACGCACACACACACACTCACTCTCATTCACACACACACTCACACTCTCACGCACACACACACACTCACTCTCATTCACACACACACTCACACTCTCACGCACACACACACACTCACTCTCATTCACACACACACTCACACTCTCACGCACACACACACACTCACTCTCATTCACACACACACTCACACTCTCACGCACACACACACACTCACTCTCATTCACACACACACTCACACTCTCACGCACACACACACACTCACTCTCATTCACACACACACTCACACTCTCACGCACACACACACACTCACTCTCATTCACACACACACTCACACTCTCACGCACACACACACACTCACTCTCATTCACACACACACTCACACTCTCACGCACACACACACACTCACTCTCATTCACACACACACTCACACTCTCACGCACACACACACACTCACTCTCATTCACACACACACTCACACTCTCACGCACACACACACACTCACTCTCATTCACACACACACTCACACTCTCACGCACACACACACACTCACTCTCATTCACACACACACTCACACTCTCACGCACACACACACACTCACTCTCATTCACACACACACTCACACTCTCACGCACACACACACACTCACTCTCATTCACACACACACTCACACTCTCACGCACACACACACACTCACTCTCATTCACACACACACTCACACTCTCACGCACACACACACACTCACTCTCATTCACACACACACTCACACTCTCACGCACACACACACACTCACTCTCATTCACACACACACTCACACTCTCACGCACACACACACACTCACTCTCATTCACACACACACTCACACTCTCACGCACACACACACACTCACTCTCATTCACACACACACTCACACTCTCACGCACACACACACACTCACTCTCATTCACACACACACTCACACTCTCACGCACACACACACACTCACTCTCATTCACACACACACTCACACTCTCACGCACACACACACACTCACTCTCATTCACACACACACTCACACTCTCACGCACACACACACACTCACTCTCATTCACACACACACTCACACTCTCACGCACACACACACACTCACTCTCATTCACACACACACTCACACTCTCACGCACACACACACACTCACTCTCATTCACACACACACTCACACTCTCACGCACACACACACACTCACTCTCATTCACACACACACTCACACTCTCACGCACACACACACACTCACTCTCATTCACACACACACTCACACTCTCACGCACACACACACACTCACTCTCATTCACACACACACTCACACTCTCACGCACACACACACACTCACTCTCATTCACACACACACTCACACTCTCACGCACACACACACACTCACTCTCATTCACACACACACTCACACTCTCACGCACACACACACACTCACTCTCATTCACACACACACTCACACTCTCACGCACACACACACACTCACTCT